GTCCTCTCCTCATCAATCGTATCCGCAGAACAGATTCTAGCGGCTCTATTGAGTGCAACTCAAAAGAGTGTAAACCCACGTGCCCATCAAAACAACCCCAAACCCGGCAAAATTTAATGCGAAACTTAAATTCATTGTTTAGAAAGAAGTCGAGGTAATTGAGTTACGAGAGTTACGCAAGCGTCTTCACATTCATCGTTGCTGATGGATCCCCCTTCTTCGTCACGACATTGATAATGGCATCGAGTGGCAAGATTTTGTCTTAATGTTGTGGAAAATTAAAATCTTCTCTTGACCTTTTCTTATTGCTCCTCTGACCAAAAAGCTTTTGCTAGGCACTCGCTCGCGGCGATTTAAGTTACCCCTGTTTTGACCTGCATATATCTGCCTGGGTTAACCTACCATGGCTGTTTGAACGTACAATTCCCCTCTAGCTTTTGTCTCTGTACTGTCGGAAACATACTGAGAACATTGAGTTGATTGCATCACCTGCAAAGCACAGGTCGCTGTATTTTTGAGGCCTATCTCTTTGGCCCCCTTGCGTCATTGAGCTTCCAACTGAGAATGTAACATTTACGCCTTAAGTTTGCGTGGGGCAAGGCGTTGCTTGACCCACAGTTGTCTGTGATACCTGGTGTCACTCTGCCTGGATGCACAAGGAGACGAGCATATATCTTAACGCGATCGAGGTTTACCCTACTACTACCGTTACTTTAACCGATCGCAACCTATGGGATGCCGAACCCGCGGCTCAATGATTAAGGCGTTGGATTTCCAACGAGCAGGTCGCAATTTCGAGCCTAGAGGGTTGCAAAATCCGGGGTTGGACACGGTTGGCTGATGATGACTAATGAGCCGGAAATGGTTGTACCAGGTTCCCTTGTTTTTGTCGATAATCGTATTCTCCCCATATTACTGTGCAACGCCATGCTTTTTTTCTCGCGTGTGCGACAGTAGATAATAACGGTCTTTTGCGTTCTATGCTACCTGAACACAGCTATTTGTCCATGCCCGAAATGGTGGCAATATATTCTTGATATCAGAAGCAGGCCTTTGAGATTGGGCCACTTATATACATCGGTTAGCCTTCCCCATCCATCATAAACTGATTTTTAGTCCTCTTTATCGGAACTACAATAACGAAGTCATCTGCACACCACATTATTACCATTTCGAAGGAAGTAAAATCTAGAGTAAATGTTTCGACTCATTCCCCGACGATTGTTCATGATGCAGAGAGTTACGGTTTTTGTGCTCTTCAGGTGTTACCTCTTTTGTGTACTCATCATTATCCACGTTAGATAAATAACTTTTTTCCTGAAAGTTTTGGTATAATACTTTCAAGCTAAGGCCTCTAATTCCTTCTCTCCACCAGTAGGAAGTAATGTGATGCTGGCATATATGCTCATCTATGTTTGCAAACTCTGCTTGGTCATTGTAGTTTTTGTGGCATGACTATTACAGATTTTCCTAGCAGACTACACTGTCCGGCTTAAGCTGTGAATCTATAGCTCTGTTACCCGCGATTCCAGTTAGATAAGGCTGATTCATGCTCGCCATCATTCATAGTTTTCTGCTTGTGTACAGGGCTGTTTTCGTACCTATATGACGCTTCAGTCAGGGTCACTCTTACAATCTCGGTGACATGGCTCCTCGTTTTCGACACGATTTAGTAAATAGTTTTCCTAGGAAACGTAAATCTTCACGTATGTATATTGGAATGCGCAGTTCCTAATTAGCCAAACATTCCAAAGTACACGCTTCTTTTTACGTTTGCTAGGCTGTT